GGGAGGGAGAAGGGAGGAGGGAATGGGTGGAGGGAAGGGGTTTGGAGGGATCACTTCTGAGGTTTATCTTATAGGGGTACAGGTGAATCTTTCTAAGAGTTGAATGTGAACGTTTTAAAGCAATAACTGAGAAAATGACATGAAGGCTGTGTTGAGCAGTTTGATGGAAGTATTTCAGATTGCATGTGAAAACCCTACACTGTACCCCAGAAGTGCATTAATGTACATAGTTACCATTCAATAAAAAAAAAAAGAAAAAAAAAAAGGGGGACCTTCACAAATAAGTAGAAAAATGTTTCCACTCTCCAAATAAACTCAGCATTAATTTCTTTTAATTTATGGAGGTGATCTCTGCTTCATTCTATGAATATACAAGTGAGGAGAGTTTATGGCACTACCTGTTCATAGATTTCTACCTGTTCTGAGCACTACAGAGAGAGAGAGAAAGATTTTTAAGAACCCCCAGAAAAATCACAAAACTGAAAATTTAAAACACTCTTCCCTTTACGAAGTCACTGTATAACCTACAAGTTAATCATACTTAACTTTAAAATGTGACTTGCCAAATCTACAGCTCACAAGAGGTGTCTTAAGCAAAAAAGTGAATGAAAACTAAGAAATTAATTCCCCTTTCTTTTTTAGTTATTCATGTACTCCTTGACAAAATATTTGACCTCCACTATGAGGCAGGTCTTCACTGGACAGAGGAGGTACAGCATGCAGGCAGTGGTCTTTTTTTTTTTTTTTTCAGTTTTGGCTGGGGCTGGGTTCTTGAGCCCGCCGGCCCTGGTATATGGGGCTAGCACCCTACTCCTTGAGCCACAGGCACCACCCATGCAGTGGTCTTTTAAACAAAAATATACCTGATTATGCCACCTCTCTGCATCCTTTTCCCCCTTTAAAAAATCTTTTCAGTATCTTTTCTTGCTAACTAACTGAAATCGAGAACTTACCCTGACATGCAAAACCCTTACATGCTCTGACCCCTGCCAATGCTCTGACCCCCTTTTCTGTTAATCCATGAAGACCCTAGACTGCTCCTGAACTGTGCTCACCATGCTTCTGCCTCTGGCCCTTGCCCTTGCTGCACCCATACCTGGAGGAGTCTTCCTTTAGATACCTGTATGACCCATTTCCTTCTTTTGTCTATTCTCTGCTGAAATATTTCTGCCACAGTCAGCCCAGCTTGCCCTCCTGTCTGAAATAGCATCCCTTCTCACTATTACTCAGGATGGTTCTTCTTTTTTTCATATCACTTATCACTACTTGACATTTTGTGTCTCTGCCGTTGTACTTTTTGTTTGACTATAACAGAATATCCAAGACTGGGCAACTTAAACAGAAAACAAGTTTATTTGGCTCATGATCCTGGAGGCTGGAAAGTTGAAGATTGAGCAGTGTATCTATTTGCCTTCTGGTGAGGGTCTCATGCTGCTTCAGCTTGTGGTGGGAAGTGGCAGGAGAAGCAGGTGTGCACAAAGAGACCAAACACAAGAGGCGGGCTGACTTTATAAAAACCAGATCTCAAGGCCTTAACCCAGGGCCTTGCGAACTAATGCAGCCTCAAGAGAATTGCATTAATTCATTCATGAGGCTGGTGCATCCGTGACCGAAACATCTCTTAAAGTTACCACTACTTCCCGATACTGTTACGCTGGCATTAAAATTTACCATGCATTTTGGTGGGGACAAAACATAACAATCTCTCTGTTTATTGACCTGTTGTATTAACCCCACTAGAATGGAGTGTCCTTCAATAACAAGACCTTTTTCTGTTTGACTCATTCACGTACCACAAGTCCAATTAACATGCTCAAAACTTTGGCCTCAGTGATGAATAAAATAATTAACATATGGATTTAGTTCTCAAAGAATATGGAGAGAGAAGACAGAAGGTTCACGTTAGGGTAGGAACACTCACATTTCAGGGCAGGTAAAGGAAAATTTGCCGAGCAGTGTAAAAAAATCAGAAGTTGTTCTGGAAGGTAAGAGAAGAGAAAGGAGGAGGGAATGGCCAATGTCAAATATGGCTGAGAAGCCAAGAAGGAAAACAACTAAAACATTTCCATTGTGTTTAAAGGTCTGACTGTCATTCATGCTCTAGATAAGAGTGATTTCAAGTGTGTATTAGAAATGGAGCCCATATAAGAGTGATTAAAATATGAATGTTGGGGAAGTAGAAAAGAAGCAGTGCATATCATTAATTAAAGACACATAATGATCCCAATTAGTGGGGGAAATTATAATCATGGACAGATGACCTGTTTCCTTTCTCTGTCCTGCTTTGCCTACAGCAGGTATCAGAGAGGGCTGGGGTCAGGCTAGGGCTACCTGAGATACCTTGAACTAGTTATGTCTCCTTCATGGTTCCCTTGTGAGTTTGTACACCTAAAAATCAGAATGCTAATCACAACTGTCCTGCCTAAGTCATAGGTCAATAAAATAGCCAAAGGAGATGTTCCTGTGAGTGCTTTATAACTCATAAGAAAGATTAAGAAAGCATGTACAGGTGCAGGACTTACCATGTGCATGGCCAGCAGTAGAATCATCTTGCTCTCCCTTGGATGCTGACTAAATTATGCCCTTACAGATTCCTGAACAACGTTGGATTCTTTTTTCCACTGATAATGATGCTGACTTGGATCGTGTCTGTGGCCAGCATGGTCCGAAAGCTGGTTTATGAACGAGAGATCCAGATAGAAGAGGTAAATAGACTTACATCTTCTTGGCAGACAAGGAGGGGCAGGCTGGGGACTCTGCAAATGGATCTCGTTCCATAACTGGCCTGAGCCTCTCTGTTGTCCTCTTACTATCTTTTGCGAGGGTTCCTATGTGCGATCCAGTTGAGTCCCTGTCCCAGGAAAGTAATTTTATGTTAAAGTCTAAAGTATTGCCGGAACAGATATTTTCTACTGAAAGGAAATATAACCACTGACTGTGACCCTGAGATTGAAAGAACAAAGCCAATGTTGCTTATTCAGATTTTTTTTTTTTTTTTATTAAACCCAGAAAAACAAAACAGCAGACTTTCCATCCTAACTTAAGGTTAGAACTTTTTTATGTAGAGGGAGGGGCCAAGATGGCAGACCAGAAGCAGCCTACACACTGCTCTCCTAGAGAAGATGCAGTCGGCAAGTGAATATTCACCTTCAGATCAATCATTTTAGAGAGAGCTTTGCACATCCAGAGAGAGGAGATTGGAGGCACCCCACGAGAGGGAGAAGGAAGAGAGGTGACGTGCTCTGCAGTTTGGAGGGGCAGAGGGAAGACAGATGTGCATGTGGGGAAGGCAGAGGGGAGGGTCCTAAAGCTCCACACTTCTTTAACAATCATTGCTGTCCAAGCGGCACGAGGGACCCTCCACAAAGCCACAGGACTGACATAGGAGTTATCTGCAGACTGTACAGCAGCACCGCTCTGGAGAGAGGACACAGTAGTGATCCACTCTTTCATAAATCCTGGGCATTATGGCTGGTGCCATTTTAAAATCCTAGACCAGAGCTCTGCCTCCACTTAGAAGTCAGGTCTGGTGTTGCTTCCTCGTTGTTACCCCTGCTAGTCTGGTGGGGGGAAGAGGTGGGGAGGCTGGGCACCTTCATGAGTCTCATGGGCAGGACCTGCATGTCCTCAGGGCCATGGGGGTACCTAGGTGGGCTGATAACCACTGTCCCCTGTCATAAGGGCATGGATGCACTCAGGCCAGAGCCCAGCTGACAAATGCCACTCTCCTCAGATCTAACCTTGAGTGCTCTCGAGCCAGCTCGCACTGACAGTCACCACTGCTTGCAGGCATGGGTAGGCAAGGCTGTGCTCAAGTCAGCACCTGGCCGACAGATGCTGTTGTCTGCAGATCTTAGTAGGACATCCCTCAAGCTGGCATAGGCCATCATTCACCACTCTGTTCAAGGCACACAAGTCAAAATATGCCATCACACATAGATAGGAGGGGCAACTCCCAAGCCAATGTGGGCAGACATTCACTGTCACTTGTGGGCATGGGTGAGCCTACCCTAAAGCCAATGTAGGCTAATAAGTGTTGCTGCCCACAGATCTGAGTGGAGCAGCTCTGAAGCCAGCTCAGGCTGACTGTCACTACTGATGACAGAACTAGGTTCAACATTCACTCACCCTGTAATGCGGTGAATGCCAGTGATAACCACAGGGGAATCATGAGGCAGGAAATACAAAAGAGCAAACAGTGTTAAATGCTCACATCGCCTCTGCCCATCTCGTGCTAGGTCAGTCCTTCAGAGCAGAACACAAGTGAACCACCTTACTCTGCAGGAGAGTTCCCAGCAGAGGTTATCTGCGTTGAACTGAGAGAAGAGGTTTTAGGTGAGAAGGAAACAGAATAAGAGCTGCATAAAGTCATGGAAATTAAACAACCTGCTGCTGAGTGATCCTTCAATCAATGATGACATTAAAATGGAAATTAAAAGATTTTTTGAAATAAACAAAGGAGGCAAAAACTTTCCCAATCTATGGGTGTGCCAAAAGCAGTCCTAAGCAGAAAGTTCATAGCCTTAATGCCTACATCAAAAAGACAGAAATTAATAACTTAATCTCATATCTCAAGGAGTTTGAAAAAGAAGAGTAAACCAAACCCAAAGCCAGCACAGAAGAAATAATAAAGCTTAAAGCAGAAATAAATGAAATGGAAACAAACAACAACAACAACAACAACAACAACAAAAAAAAAACAAAATAACATAAAGGATAAAGGAAACAAAAAGTTGGCTCTTTGAAAAGATAAACAAAATCAATAGACCACAAGTCATATTAACCAGAAATAGAACAGAAAGGACTCAAATTACCTCAATCAGGAATGAAAAAGGAGACTTTACAACTGATTCCACAAGAATACAAAATATCCTCCACGGGTTCTATGAAAACCTCTATGCCCACAGACTAGAATATATGAACAATATAGGTAAATTCCTGGAAACACATAATCTTCCAAAACTCAGTCAGAAATAAATAGAAATTCTGAACACACCAATAATAAGCAGCAGGATTGAAGCATTAATAAAAAAAATCTGCCAACAATGAAAGGCCCTGGATCAGACAGACTGATAGCCAAACAACACTTCACAGAACTAGTGACTATCCAGAAATCATTTCATAGCATTGATCAAGACAGAATCCTTCCTAACACATTCTATGAAGCCAGTATCACCAGGATACCAAAGGCAAGAGAGAAAACACCACCATCACCACCACCAACAACACTACAGGCCATTATTTCTGATGAACATAGATGCAAAAATTCCCAACAAAATACTAGCAAACTGGATTCAGCACCCCAGTGAAGAGATAACTCACCATTCCCCATCATCCTAGGGTGATTTGATAGATCAGTAAACATTATTTGCTACATAAACACAAGCAAAAACAAAGACATTTTGGTTATCTCAGTAGATGCAGAATAGTATTCAGTATAATCTAGCATACTTTCATGATAAAAATCCTCAACAAACCAGGCATAGAGAGAACATACCTCAAAATTATAAAAGCCATGTATGACAAACCCACAGCCAACATCATACTGAATGGGGAAAAGTTGAAAGCCTTCCCCTTAAGAACTGGAACAAAACAAGGATACCCACTGTCTCCACTTCTATTCAACACTGCTGAAAGTCCTAGCCAGAGTAATCAGGAAAGAGAAATAAAGAGTGTCCATATGGGGAAAGAGAAGGTCAAACTATCTCTGTTCACTGATGGTATGATCTTGTATCTAGAAAACCTTAAAGACTCCACCAAAAAAGTCTCAGAATTGATGAGCAAATTCATCAAAGTCTCAGGTTACAGAATTGATAACAGAAAAATCAGCAGCATTCAAATGTTTATCACAATCACAAAGATGTGGACTCAACCTAAGTGCTCATCAATTCATGAGTTAATAAAGAAAGCATGATATACGTGTGACTTGCAGTACTAGTAAGGGAATGAAGTAATGTCCCTTGCAACAACTTGGATTGAACTGGGGATTATTAGCCTGAATAAAGTATCTCAGGAATGGACACCACCACTTCTTGGTCTCTCTCTAAAATGATGGGCACACACAGAGAGTTGCAAAGGGCATTGGGAACCAAGAAGCAGGGAGGGTGGAGAGGGGTGAAGGGGAAGGACTTACCTGTGGGGTATAATGAACACTGTGCTGGTGATGGGCACGCTAAAAGTGATGACTTGAGCATTACGTGTGCAGGGTATCCCTGTAACAAAGGTATTTGTGTCTCCTTAATATTTTGAAGTAAAAAAGGAAAAAAAATTATTTATGGAAAGCCTTGCTATTTTTTGTCTTAATATTGTTAAAACTTGAAACTATCAGAACTGCTTTTAAGAATGAAAATTTGTAAAAGTCTCTGTTAAAGACCCACTCCCCATTTATTCTTGCAGAAAAATGAAGCAATGAGATGATAGGTGTATACTATTTACTTATTCAATATTTATTAAAATAAAGAAACTGTGTGGTAAAGTAAAATGTGCTTTTTATTCAATTTTATGAGCAGTGTGTAGAACTTGCATCACTGTCGTGAGTGCTAATTACCTATTTACTTGCAGACTCTGTGTTTCTTTTCATTCTTTCTTTTCTTTTCTTTCTTTCTTTTTTTTTTTGAGACAGTCTCACTTTTTCGCCCATGGCATCGTAGCTTTGTAACAACCTCAAACTCTTGGGCTCAAGTGATCCTCTTCCTTCAGCCTCCTGAGTAGCTGAGACTACAGGCACCCACCAAAACACCTGGCTAAGTTTTAGAGACGGGGTCTTGCTCTTGCTCAGGCTGGTCTCAAACTCCCGAGCTCAGGCAATCCACTTGCCTCTGCCTTCCAGAGTGCTGGGATTACAGGTGTGAGCTACTGTGCCTGGCCTTCCGTGTTTCTTGACTCAGTTTAGCCCCTCAGCACAGGGACCTGGTTAGACCTGCTGGGCAGTGACCCACTGGTGATAGCCCAGGCTATGCTTCTCCACCAGTTGTTCTCAAATCACAAGTAATCAGCCCCACACTCAGGGACATCATGATATGATAGATTTAGTGGATGAATTTTATTTTTATTAAACAGGGTTATTCCTCAAAATGCATTCTAGAACATATGCAATGACCTTCCAAACTGAAGAGCTTAATGACCAGTATTTCCCTCTTTCATTTTTCTGTCTTTATTAAATAAAACCAACACAGAAAAAAATGAAGCTCAAAAAACAAAAATTGAAGCAAAAACAATGCCTGCCAAGTAAACGTGAAAACACAGTGTGACTATAGTTGTCTAAGACATCTGCTGCAACCCATTCCTCCTGCTCTATGTTCTTGCCAGTGAGATTGTTTCAACATCTCCTGATCTCAGTTCTCTCTCCACAAATGTAGTGAATGAGCTAAGATGATCATGAGAATCCAATGCTGGGCTCTAGGCGGGCACGTCCTTTCCAGCGCCCTATGCGGGGCTGAATTTTCAAGTAACGCTGGTTTAGTTTCCACTGGTACACCTTCTCTGACCTGCCGTCCCATCAGTTACTCCTTGAGTGTCCACTGCTGTGATACCTCCTGTTTTCTCTCTTTTGACAGTACATGCGGATGATGGGCGTGCATCCAACGATCCACTTCCTGGCCTGGTTTCTGGAGAACATGGCTGTGCTGACCATAAGCAGTGCCACCCTGGCCATCATTCTGAAAACAAGCGGCATCTTTGCACACAGCAATGCCATTATTGTTTTCCTCTTTCTCTTGGATTTTGGGGTGTCGGTTGTCATGCTGAGTTACTGCTTGAGTGCATTTTTCCGCCAAGCTAATACAGCCGCGCTGTGTACCAGCCTGGTGTACATGATCAGCTTTCTGCCCTACATAGTTCTGTTGGTGCTGCATAACCAATTGAGTTTTGTCATTCAGACATTCCTGGTAAGTGATTTGACTTCTAAAAAGGCAAAATAAAACAAAACTGCCATACACCCAACGCAACGAATCGAAACCACTACCCTCAACTTTTTAATTTATCATGTTCAGATCTACATAGGCTTTTGTGTGTCTGCTTTCTCCATCTCCCCCACAGATGCCAGCCTCACAGCTGTAGTTCATCAAAACTGCAGTGGTTTTGCTGGATGGCAGCCCCTTGAGAATTGCCTTTTTTTTTTTTTTTTTTTTTTTAATGTAATGGGGACTCTTTTCAGATTCAGGGAAATCAGCAGCATCCTTTAGGAAGCATATAACTTCGGTTTCTCTTTGTTTCATGCATGGAAAATAGATTTCTAAAGCTATTTTAGAAGTTAAAAATAAGCATTTTTCTTGAAGCGTCATGAATTACATCACATTAAATGGAAAAGTCTCTTCCTTAGCAATGTCAGCGTTGCTCATCCATTTAAAATGTACCTCCTGAAAAAGTATTAAAATGACAACATTTTTGGGTCTGTAACATAAAATCTGTAGAAAATAGACATATATCCATTCTTTATGACAATTGCCTGGCCAGCACGCACCTGGCACATAGTGGGAGGTCATTGAAGAAGGATGAACAACTCACTATTAAATAGTCTCTTGCACAGAGCCAGTGGCATAACTGTAAACATTTGCATTATAGACAAAAATTGCTTTCTTCAGCAGGTCGGGCACCTTCTCCAAATTTCAGTCTGTTGGGATGTATGGCTGGAATCAGTAATGGGGACATTGGGGAGGTGTCAAGGAGGCAGCGTCACAAATCTACCCAGGGGCATTTACTCAGGCCTTTAAAAGCCCTTTGTCCAGCACAGATCTCAGGGCATCCCTAGTGTATCTCCCACACACTGGGAATGGGTCACATTTTCTCCTTATTATAGCCTTCGAGTAAAATATTTCTGTGGGAGTCAAATTAATTTTCTTCAATAAACCATTCAATGTGCTCTGGTTTCTACTGGCCATATACATACAACATGGATGAGGAAAAAGTAGTTAGATTCCATTAGCATTTTGTCCATTGATATGTGTGTTCATCATTTTTTATTAGTGTGATGTATACAGTGTATGTTACTACAACACCTGCAGTAACTGAGAACCAGTAATTTTGTGTGAGTGTTAATTAGGCATTTTCTGAGTAGTTAACCCAAGCGGAACTGCTGGGTTCCTGCTCCAACATATTCCTTGCATATAGAAAAGCAATCATCCGTGACCTGACCTAGTTTTTAAATGCTGTTATTTTTGTTTTTATTTGATCCTTATACTTAAGGGTTCTTTGTTTATAAAATTTGATTTTCCTGTTACATTTTCAGATGTTTTCTAGGAAGTAAAAATATTGAACTCTGGTACATTGTATTTTTGAATGTAAGGTATTTCTTCAGTGGGCTTTTTGTTTTTCTCTGACACAGGCCCTCTCTATTGGAGGTAGAATAACATTTTTCTCCATACACTGCCTTTCTCGTGTAGAATGGTGTATTTATCCCACTGTCTGCCTGCAGTGTGCTCCAGGGCAGTCACTTAATCATAAAAAATAGGAAATTGCCCTATTCCATTTTCCACTGTTTTGTGTTACACATTTCTATATACAGCGTATTGAATTTATGACACTTCAGGCATTGTAGTAAAGAGAAATAATTCCCTCTAATGTTAAAGACTAGCTTGTTATCCTGCTTTTCAGAGTGGGCTGACGTTCTCCTCAGTCTTTCAGGTTCAAATATTTAAATCACTGCCTGAAGCAATCACTCGGCATCAGCGTCAGAAGGCTTCTGGGGTCTCTGTGAATTCAGCACTGGGGGTTTTCTGTGGTTCCAAACCCACACTAATGTGTTGTTTTTCTCCTCACTCCATCAATCTGGGGGCAGTGTTTCCTCTCAACAACTGCTTTTGGACAAGGAGTATTTTTCATTACATTCTTGGAAGGACAAGAGGCAGGTAAGAAAATACATTTTTAAAAACTGACTCTGAATGACTCAGGTTTTGGGAAATTTATATTTATGTTGCAAGTGACATGGTAGAAAGTCTGCATTACCAAGTGGAACATTTGGAACGAGAGATGGATATTTGGTTTTGTTGATGTAAACACCTCTCAACACCTAGTGGTCCCAGTTTTGAGAACAGCCAAAAGCGATCATGGCATCCTTTGCTTCAGACACTGTCCAGATCAGCTGCCCAGACAATGCTTGTGTTTTCCTTATGACACCCCTGGCACAGGATCAACGTCATGACCTTCAGAATTGCTCCAAGAACGAGGTGCCATATGGATCCATCTGTTAGCTGTTATTCAATTTGGATCTGTTTTCCTGGATCCTAGTTTTTAGCTCCTTTTTTCTTATTCCCTCGTCACATGACAACTGTCCACATACATGTCAGCTCTCGTCTTTGCCCTCATGTTTTCTAGAGCCTTCCTAAATGTCAGGATCCAGAAATAGGTCTAATCAATATAGAATAGAGCACAAATATCTCCTCCATTAAGCTATAATACAGCTTAAAAGGATTTAAAATTTTTCTTGATGGCATTTTTTATTTACATTGGAATTTTGACAAGTAAAATTCTAAATTAGAACAGACATTTATTTCTTATATGTTTATATGGTCTTGAGCTGTGTTTCATAAACACAGGCAAAACATATGCCGTGAGTGAAACCCAGCTGTGGCTGGTGTTGTGTCAGTTAATCTGACTGGTCTTAGAGTTCTTAGGTGTTTTCGGTAAATCATATTAAATTGTCCTTTAATGGATGCGTTATCCTGAATAATTTCTTTTGCATCCTTTAAACCAATCTCTGAAATAAGTCTGATCAAGAAGATAAAAAGTAAAAATGGTCACTGTTAGACCATTTGAATATTTTGGTCCAAATTCCACCAAGTACTCAAAAATTAAAACGTTAATTTAGTAAGTTTGAACCTAACACTATAGGGAAATTTCAAAAGGGAACTATTTTTCCTAAATTATATTTTAATATGGCAATAAATCACAAACATATTATCAGAAAATGATGACTCTTTCTTATCTTATCCCAGATTTTACATATCCTATATGTATGTTTCCCCAAAGTGGAGAGAGTTATATAATTTAGAGTTTGAGTTCTCAAGTAACATTCTTTATCATTTTTTAAAAAATATGCTTATTTTCCCTAAATATGAAGTCTTTTTTAGTTGAGTAAATAAAACTAGATGTAAGTAAAGTGACCTTTAAACATGTTCAAATGTTAGCTATTAATATTTGAATGTCATTAATAGTCATTCCACCTGATATTGTTGAAATAGATGTGAGATTATACAAGTTAACATTTCTTTTGGAGAGTTATGGCCAATGGTATTGACCTTCCTTTTGTCTTATCTGTTTTCAGCTTTAGTTGAGCTTCCAGAATTAATGAACTTATCTTACCAAATCTGTAGCAAAAGAGGATGCACACTTCTAATGCTGACCTTTTTCTTCCTGCCAGGGATTCAGTGGAATAATATGTACCAGGCTCCGGAACAAGGGGGCATGACATTTGGTTGGGTTTGCTGGATGATTCTGTTTGATTCAAGCCTTTATTTTTTGTGTGGATGGTACTTCAGCAACTTGATAACTGGTAAGAATTTTGTACTTTATAAGATAACAAAATAAACTTAAAAACTGGTTTCAACCAATATTCATGAATATTGGAATAATCATTTATTCTTTAAGGAAGACATCAGAAAGAGGAGTCATAGGACATTTTAAAAGGAGCTGTGAGTATTTGAGGAAAACATAGTGCTTCTGTATCCAGGATGAAAGGTTAGAGCCCAGGGGAAAGGTTAACCAGGGAGGCATGCTCATGAAAACCCACTGAGCCCACCACTAGGCTCCCCAACAGGTGGGCTTCTGTTAACTACACAGTAGAAGATGCTGGGTCTCGAGATCGAGTGTTTGGGGAAGGTGGGCATGAGGGATTGGGGGCAGGAGAGTCTAGGGGCTTATGGAACTCTTGTCCCTAGGCAACAAAGAGGCTGGGTGGGGAGCTCAGGGCCTCTGAATGAGAGTGGAAGATAAGGGCAGGGGAACAAGGGGCTGGGGGAGGGTCCATCTCCAAACCAGGGTTTTTAGGGGGGTTGTGGGTACGTGGTTTCTCTCCATGTGGCCTGCTTTTTCCCTGGTGTATCAGACATGCCCTGGAGGTCTGGGGATTGTGTGTACCAATTGAAGGGAAGGCCACTAAGGCTGGTGGATTTTCCCTACTGTGTTAGGAGGGAAAGAGGCAGGCATAGTTTTACCTGTTCAGTTCAGGCCAAAAAAGAAGAGAAAAAGCACTTTACAAAACATTAACTTTATTTTGTTATTTAGAAATAACATTTTGATAGTATTATATTTTCTTGTTGAAATTACTTGTGACTTAGGCCTTATACTTTCCAAAGCCAATGGCATCTTAAAAATTAAGGATTTTTATAATAAGAACTATAAAAAGAGATTTTAATCATGTACAAATGAAAATAAAGGGATAGAAGGAAAATAAAAACAAAACCTAGTTCATTCTGTTTGTGAAAACACATTCCAGACCTGGAGAGCTCGTGCATCATTTAGGGATGGGTAAATGTAAAAAGAATATGGTCATTGAAAAGGTTATTTTTCAATAAAAAAAGAGAAAAGGTTATTTTACATTAAAGTAGGAATATATGGCCCTCAAGATGCAGAGAGAGAGAGAGAGAGAGAGCATATTTTGGAAATGTGATGGATTTTTAAAAATTTGTATTGCATCATCTTGGTACTTTGAATAAAATTTGAGAAAAGATGCATTGTAGAAAACAAGTTAGAAAAAACTCAGTTGAAAAGGCCAAGGTTTTAAGGAAACTGGATGAGAAGCAACTGGATATTGAAACGAAGGTAGGTGACAAGAAAAGAATTTTATAAAATGCGTGTGACGTCAATGTAAGGCGTGTGACAAAGAGGTCATGAGCTAAGAAGCAGAGCCTGACCTCAGCAGAGCAGCTGAGACCTGGAGGGTGACCACAAAGGAAGTTCCCAGGAGTGGAGGTGAGCAGGTGGGAGCACCTGTCCAGCAGGTGCAGGGCAGCTGCAGCCCAGGCCCACAGAGGGTCGCTGGTCCTGAGAGGAGCAGGGATCAATGGGAGCAAAAGGCAAAATCAAACAGCCCTTTCTCTGAGAAGAACTTGGATTTGTAGAGTAAGCGCTCACTGCATAACACATGAAACCAGGAAGAGGAAACCTTTATCTCGCTAGAATGGTGGATGTCTGGAACTCCAAGGACAAAGAATAGAACACTACAGGCCCACAGATGGCTAGAAACAAGGGGACTCGGCGATGCTGTGATGAAGATACAGTATGTCCAGGGAGCCAGACCAATCGTGACGCCCCCTCAACCACCAGCACCTGAGGCAGGAGGATCCCAGGGCCAGTATCCTCATACATAAAGCAAAGGAATTCTGGATATTCAGTTGGGGCTTTTCTGCCAAATCTCACTATGGAGTTCTGATCAGTTAGACCCGAGTCCCGTGTGAACGAATTCTTTCACCCAGAATACAGGCTGAGAAGCAGGATGAGCCAGGCCAGAGCACAGCCAGCTCCCAGAGGTCTTCTGGGGGAGCCCTGGTGCAGGGAGAGCAAGGTTCAGGAAGAAAGAGATGGGGTGGAGGGGGAGAGAGGAGGGAGAGAAAGAGCAAAGAAGAATTCTGGCTGTGTTCTAAATCTGCAGCTTTTTGAAGCAGGACTGACTAATATTTGAATGCAGTGTAGCTGCAGCTGTGGCTGCTAGGGGAAGTGGGCTTTGGGTGTTGGCTATTATTATCGTTAGGGTTAGTATTATTTAGGTTGATGGCATAACTGTGTGCCTGTGAGAACGATCTAGTCTGCAAGGAGACACTAACGTGGTAGCAGCAGGGAGAGAGAGGGGCAGCATGGCATGGCATCGCCTTGGAGGAGGAGAGGGCAGGGAGAGGAGGAAGGCACACAGCGGGGCTCCTCCATCCAGGACCCTGCTGACCTCCCTGCCTAGCAGACGTGGCCAAGGGACGGGAGAGCAGGAAGGGATGCGGCTCCTAGAGCATCCGCGTCCTCTGAGTGGAAGAGACAGTGTTGGTGGGGCAGTGGGGCCCCAGCCTGGCCCTGTAGCTCTTGCTGTCCCTGCAGCTCTTTGTTATGAACTTGAAGTTTAACACTGAGGTGAAGGCTCCAGCTATAGAGAAAGGCAAGTAAGACCTAGCAGAGATTTCGTTTTTACAGGAACACATAGTAATGTGGAATAAGGAAGGTCATGTGCTGCCATGAGCACAGAGCTGTCTGTGGAAGAAGGCATACGATGTACCAATATTCAGTTCAGATTTTTTTTTTTTTTTGCTTGTTTGTTTAGCAGGCCCCAGCTGCAGATTTTTTTTTTTTTAAAAAACACACACAATTTTGTCCCTGTACCAAATTGTCAAAGTTTATGTAGAATTATATGTGTTATGTTTTTCTGTTTTTAATTTCTCTGCATTGAACATACATTTCTTTTGCAATTCAAATAAATGATAAAAATCAACCATATATATTATGTTTTTCAAAATGCCATATGATTTACTAAAAAAAGAAAATCAAAATATTTGCAGGGGTGGATCATACTACTACATCACAGGGAGAAATCACATTTTGGGAGCAAGCTAGCAGGATGTTGGCTAAAAGAATTTACTTTAGTAGTTTGGGTGATGAATAATCTTTTCTTCTCAGTCTCCCTTAAGAAAAGATGTGTGGTATTTGGAGTTTGTTCTTCCCCGAGGGGGTGGGGAGCAGAACTATAAGTATTAATAAAATGCTGGGGTGGCATTTTATTATTTTATTAATACAGCAGGGAGAAGGCAGTTTTCTCTTCCCTTCCTCTCTCCCTTCCTTCTCTCCCTCTACCCATCCTCTCTCCTTTCCTTCCTCTCTCCCTTCCTTCCTTCTCTCCCTCTACCCCTTCCTCTCTTTCTTCTTTCCTTCTCTCTCTCTAGAATACTTAACATAAGATCTACCCTCTTATCCAGGGGTCCTCGAAATTTTTAAACAGGGGGCCAGTTTACTGTCCCTCAGACCATTGGAGGGCTGGACTGCGGGCCCAGGGATAAGTCGGCTGCTAAGCAGGACAGGTAGCGGCAGCAAAAACACCCGGTGGTCCGGATAAATGTCCTAGGTGGGCTGCATGTGGCCCGCAGGCCATAGTTTGAGGACACCTGCTCTTATCAATATTTTAAATGTACAGCATGGCGTTGTTAACTGCAAGCACACTGTTTTCCAGCAGATCTTATGTAACTGAATCTGCGTGTCCTTTGACAAACATCTCCATAATTTCCCTTTTTCTAAGTCCTGACCATTCCACTCTCTGATTTTATGCATTTGACTATTTTAGATTTCTTGTAAATGTATGATTTGTCTTTCTGTGACTGGCTTGTTTCTCTTAGGATAATGTCCTCCAGGTTTGCCATGTTGTCACAAATGGCAGGAGTCCCTTCTCTTTTAAGGTTGAATGGTTTTCCCTTGTACAGTTCATCCTGTGTCCACTCCTGATCTCTCAGACCAGGAGGTATTCCCGGCTCTGTTTCCCACTTCCAACAATGAGGCCTGTAGACAGATGTGGCTTCTCTTGTTCGGATCTCCTTAGGATGAGGTTATCATGAATTTGTTTATTCTTTCTGCTTCTAGCAGCTCTTGACACTGATGATTAATCAGTTGGCCAAATGATAAAGATTTCCAAAAGCACTGCTCTGGGGGAAAAGGGAGGCCTGATAGAGGGATGAGGGTGGAGAGGTGAGTGTGGGCACAGGCTTTCTGAAAGAAGGTCTGGAGAGTCCAGAATGAGCACATAGGGGAGGACAAAATAATTTAATTTTACCAGAAAATATTTCTGGCAAGAGCAAGAAAACACTCAGATTGAGACCTAAAATAATGAAAGCCAGGTCTTAAAAAGACAACTGTACACTCTTACTTATATCCAGTGTTCACAATAGCCAAGGGCTGGAACCAACCTAAGTGCTGTCAATAAACAAGTGACTACACGAAATGTGGCGTCTCTGTACTGTGGGATACTACTCAGATTTAAAAAGGAGGGGAATCCTGACACTACAGCGTGGATTAAATTTGAAGACATTATGCTAAGTAGAATAACCCAGACAAGCAAGGACAAATATTGTGTGAGTTCACTCATATCAGATCCTTAGAGCGGTCAAGTTCATAGAGACAAAAGCTAGAATGGTGGTCGTCAAAGGGCTGCGGCTGGGGAAATAGAGAGATGTCGTTTATTGGGGACAGAATTTCTATTTAAGATGATGAAAAAGTTCTGGAGCTGGATGGTGGTGATAGTGGTGGTACAACAATGCTACTGAGTTGTACACTAGAAAAAGAATAAAGCTTCAAATTTCGTTATGTATACTTTATCATGATTTGCAAAAAAGAGGCTGAGCCTCAAGATGGGTGTCTGGGGTGCAGAAGGGTCCATGTTCTAGGTCATATTTGAAGGGAGGGAAAGGGAATTGAGAATGAGCTCCTGGAGGAAGGTCAAAGTGAGCCATGGCAGGAATGTGCTGGTTGGGGGGCGGGGTGCTCAGTCATTCCTTCTGTGGGAATCAGGGGAATATCAGCCAAGCTGGC